CCAGATAAAGTCAAAAAGGATAATTTATCTGAAATTGTGTACATTTAAAATGCAGCATCCCACTTGCTGACAAAGGAAATTGTTTGTTTTTACTATAGATGTTTCATGGTACATTACATTTCATTTAGCTGACGCTTTTATCCAAAGCGACTTATATATTATGCTTCTGAATTGTCTCAGACAAAAAATAATTACACTCACTGCACACAAAGCTTTAAACTAAATACTACTTTAAAAAAACTAAATAATCATATTAATCATATTAACCCTATCTATGCCCTTCCCTACAAATGTGTACACTCAGTTACAATAAATATACTATACTAGACCTGGGCAATAAAACAATATCAATAATTATTGCAATATAATTATAATCAATAGCAATATAATAAAGGTGCAATATATATCTCAATATTATCACAGTGAGGAGATACAACATGTAACTTATTTTCCTCAGATTTATTAAATATCCCTTCAACGGTTTGCTAAAGTCATAAAGAGTTTAAAACCACAATCTTCACTCAGGAGTAAGAGCAGTCTTTAAACTTAAAATAAATAATAATGCGACATTTATTGTGATAATTATCAATAAAAAATTATTTTGTTTTGATATATTTGTTCATATTGTCCAGCCCAATCCTGCACTCACATTTACGCTGAAGCATTTTTCCTACCAGACAACCTCCATATTCCACAAACCCACATGTGCTCTCCACTGCAGAAAACCACATTCAATGTAAAAAAAATTTGAGATACAACAGATGGTAACTGTTTCAGTTTAACCTTTTATGTCAGACTGCTGCACACCACCATTCCTACTCTATGTTCCATCTTGCATCTAAAATTTCAAAAAGAGAAATAAGACAATGAGAAGTAGCAGCTGGTGGAGTGTTCTGTGGTCATCTATCCATAGCACAGAGTGCCTCTCCAAGTGTCCGGATTGCAGGCGACCAAATAACCCAAATAACAGGGAAAGTGAAAAATGCAGCACTCGTCCACTGCTGTGGTTCTGAGCTTTAACAAGCTACAACACCTGTGATTTGTGGTTTGTCTGTTCTGCTGTATTTTTTGTGTAACACATCTATTGTCATTATGAGTCAAACCTTGTTCATGCTATTTATGATGTTCAAGCTCAACACTGGTGGCCACCTGCTCTCTCTCTTGTAATCTCTCGCTGGCATTAATAATTCTGTAACTTTTGATAACTTTAATTTGCATTTTAGGTTCTTTACTCTTCCGTTGCCTTTGAATAGATAAAGCGTATCAGCATTTAAAATTCATGTTATATATATATTCGAACATTAAAAAAAGAAAGACAGAAAACAATGCTGACTGTGAAATACGCATTTGGAAGTTTATGAGACTGGCCCAATGCCATGGCTGATGATCACATTTATGAAACTATTTAAAATGCATCTCAGAGAAATAGCTGTTTAACTTGAATTTGTGATTATGAAACAATGTCATTCATTCAAAATGTAACACTAACATACTCCATCTTCCAGTTTATTTGTAATTGTTTGTAAGGAATGATAAATCTGCTTGTCAGATATCCCTCTCTACATTGCCTGACATAAAAAAGTACAAACTCTCATATGTAGCTGTCCACTTTTGCAAGCTCAAAAATAACTTGACTGTTTAAAGGCTGAGATTGATACAAAAGTAGGTTCAACATTTATGGCCCTCATTAATTCCACAAGGGGGAGTGTGTTGAGACTGAAATGTAAGAGTAGGCAGCTTGTTTCTACTTCTACAGCAGCACAGGGCTTCTCCCCTGGACTATCAGCTGATGGCTCATTAATCTATTCTAGAGGAGGTCCCCTGCTCAAGCAGTCTGCACCAGTGAAGGATTCCTCAAGCTTCTTCCTGAGAGTGACTATTACTGAGTTTAAGAGGAGGTTTCATTAAAGCAATATATAAACAGGTGCACCCGGCTTTTAAAGGGAATAGGTGAGGGCACTCTGATTGGTTTATTGCATGTTACACCCAGAACACACCCATCGTTAATCATAAGACTAAATACAGCCATTTTGATCCATGCGCCTGGTACAGCGGCCTCTTCTACCCTGGTACAGCGGCCTCTTCTACCCTGGTACTGCGGCCTCTTC